GTTTGCTCACTGGCTGAGCGTGGTGCTGACAACACCAAGTCAAGGGTTAAGATCCCCTTACCGGTCATCTTTAAAAAAAAAAAAAAGAAATGAGCCCTCGTGAGCCAGTTGTAGAGCTTCTTGACTCTGAGAATTTTGCTGATGCCCTTAAAATATGAGAGGTTAAAAGACCCAGTTCTGTCCTTGGAGAGGAGATTGGGATGGGCTTCATTGGATTTCAGAACTGGAAAGGCTTATTGTATTCATTCAGCCTCTCCACTTACCTGGTGTCTGAAAGCCCTACAATGTCCCCAGCTGCTTAATCTCTTGGGACTTGCCCTTTGGTAAACTCCCCATGTTCTTCCTTAGGCCTCTTCTTCCCTATCTTGAGCTATGATCTGGCTCCCATGACTCCCTCCTCTACCTGGGTTTGCCCTCTGAAGCCATTTCTTTTCAACATTGACTTTGCCTGTAGAAAGGCCAACCCTTTTTCATGGCAGCAATGGATTCAGCATATGCTCACTTCTACTCTTTGCTGAGCTGGATCTTTCTGCTTTGGAGGCATCATTGGTCTCTCCCCTCACTCCTCATAGGTCTGGATGAGGAAGGGGGAAGACTCAGAAGTTTAAATACAGAGGAAAGTTCTCTTTGTAGAAGTATTTCTTGCTTTCTTTCTTTTAAATAAAAGATGACCAGTAAGGGGATCTTAACCCTTGACTTGGTGTTGTCAGCACCACGCTCTCCCAAGTGAGCTGACCGGCCATCCCTATATAGGGATCCGAACCCGTGGCCTTGGTGTTATCAGCACCATGCTCTCCCAAGTGAGCCATGGGCTGGCCCTGTAGAAGTATTTCTGTTGTTCACTGCTGGGAAATTTCCTGAAGAAAGTGCTGTTGAAGCCCATGTTTGTTGCTGTTTTAAAATCTTCCCTGCATAGGGCGCCGCTCAAATTGGAGTTTCTCTAGCTGTGTAGTGAGGGGCTCATTTGTCAGCAGCTCTAAGGCTCTACTGTCTTGTGATGATGGTCAGGGTAAGGCCCGGGTGACCTCAAGAACTAGAGGCACGGTCGATCCCAAGCTTAGGATATGAGAGGGAAGATGCAGCTAACTCTTCTTTTGGTGGTTTTCATTTCTTTCTTTTTCGTCCACACAAAATGTCCCAAAGCTCAGCGTGCTTGGTGCAGGTGGAAACACGGTCCAGGTGTGTGAACCCTCCAGGTTCTTTCTTCACCCTTTTCAAACTCTGCTCCAGCTTACTTCTTCACCCAAACCCTTCTAAGCCCTTCACTTAAGGAGGCGCTCAGGGTTGGTTCTTCTGGGCAGGTTCCTAGTCCACCCTGGCCCTCTGAACAAAAATGGGGTGTGGGAGTCCACACTGGGAGGCAGCCTCAGTCCCGATCTCTCATTCCTCTTTCTTCTGCCTTCCTTCAATTCATTTTATTCTTGCCCCTTAAAAAATAACATATAGGGCCGGCCCGTGGCTCACTCGGTAGAGTGCGGTGCTGATAACACCAAGGCCACAGGTTCGGATCCTATATAGGGATGGTTGGTTCGCTCACTGGTTGAGCGTGGTGCTGACAACACCAAGCCAAGGGTTAAGATCCCCTTACCGGTCATCTTTAAAAAATAATAATAATAAATAACATATACATTCTTTTCTTTCTATTTAGGAAAGTAATTTATGATCCATATAGAAAACTCGGAGATATCAAAAAGTCCCCTTAGCCCCTGCAAAAGTCATCTTTCCACTCATAAAAAACCAGTATGCACCATTTGGTTATGTCTTTCTTATGATTTCTTCTCTATAGATATATATCTAATTTTTAAAACTTTTTATTTTAGAATAACTAGATTTACAGAAAAGTTGCAGAGATAATACCGGATCGTGTATGCCCTTCAATCAGCTTTCCCTAATGTTACCATCTTACGCACCCATAGTATAATTATCAAAACAGAGGAAATACCTGTGGAGTACTATTTGCTAGACTACAGACTTTATTCAGATTCCACCAATTTTTCCACTACTGTCCTTTTTCTCTACCAAGATCCAATCACGTTGCATTAATGTATATGTAATTTTTTAACAATGCATACCCCACTGTGCAAACTATTTTGTAGCCAGCTTTTTTCACTTAGTAATATATCAGAAACATTTCCCCAGTCAACTAAAATTCTCCTATATCATCATTTTTAATGGCGGCATAGTGTTCCATTGAATGTATTTTCCATAATTTGCTTAGCAAATGGCTTATTATTCTACATTTAAATTGTTACTAACTTTTTACTATTTTAAAGAATTTTGAGATGAACATCTCTTACATATCTCTGATCATTTTGCCATGAGAGAAATCCCAGAAGTGGAAATGCTGTGTCCAGGGGACCAATCCTTCCTCCTTCCAAGACCACTGGTAGGATTTGACCCTACTGGTAGCCCCTATGCTTAACGAGACTGCTCACACTCATCCTGAGGCAGGCAAGGGAAGAGGCAAAAAGATCTCAAAGTGGACCACAGCCCTTGGATGATGGACATGGCAAGAGGAGATGGGAACAGCGAGGGAAATTCAGGTCCTTCATGGCTTCTCAGCTTTCTGCAAGGCCAACCAGCCCCAGCTGGGTGTCTTATCTCTGTGGACTGAGGAGGATGCTCTGAGCCCAAGGATAATGAGGAGGGGCTGTGGGGGGGGGGGGGCAGAAGCTGCTAATGCATTTTGCCAGCATCTTTGGTTTCTCCAATATCCAGCCAGACTATTAGCAGTTCCCCAAGGATGGGCTTGCTCCTCACGTCATCCCCCATTTCCTATAAATGGGAAGTGGCTAGGGAGTAGGGTGTGTGTGTGTGTGTATATGGTGGGGGAGGGAGAAGGGAGGAAGGGAAAGGGACATGGTAGTTTTCTTACAGCTGACTTAATGGGGAACTGAGGCCCAGAGAAGTTGTTATTCGTCCAGAACGACACGGCATCTTGGGGAGTAGAATGGGTATTAATGACTTCCACTAAGACTCTAAAGTCATTGGCCAGGCTAGATGAGGGACTGCTGCCCCTGCCTTGTTTCTGGAGCCCAGAGACTGTTTGTGTGTGATTGGGGCCCTCGGAGGGAAGTAACTGGATCGAGGAATTGCCTCAGTTTCTTTATCTGAAAATGGTACCCATCTCTTGGGTTGTCCTAAATATCGAATACGTTAATACACGAAAAGCATTTAGAAACAGCGCCTGGCACAGTCGGTAATGGTTGACTATTATTATTATTACACAAGGGCATATCAGCAGAAAGGGCGGTGGGGAGATTTGCAGAGCAGAAGGCCCTACAGCACCGTGTGCTGGAAGTGGTCTGGAGAATTCAGCCACCTTGTTGGGCAGGGGTGACTGGGCAGTTATTCAGGTAGCCAGGCTACCAGGTGGGGTCCAGGGTCTCACACCACGCTGTCTGCTCACTCTCCTGAGCCCTCTTTTCTCTTCCCTGTGTCACAAGGCATAGGCCCCTGGCAAGAAGTGGGGGGAGGGAGGTTCCTAGTCCTCTGAGGTGGGACAACTCTCTCCTGCTCCCAGTTTTCTTTCCCGAGCCTGGAAAAATACCTCTGTCCACTCTCTCCTGGCTCTGTAATTTTCCAGCTGACCCAGAATTCCCCCTGATTCCTGCCCTCTTTCCTGGGCAGAGGGTACATCAGCTCAAGAACCCAGGACACCACCCAGGTCTCTCTGCTGGCCACAAAAGGGTATGCCAGAGACTTTGGAAAGCCATCAGCTGGCCAGCCCAGAAGTCCCCAGCTAGAGGTGAGAGTGCTCCCAGGGAGGCAATGCTGAGACAGTTTTCCAGTTAAACTTGTTTAGTGACTTGGAAGGTAGATTCTTGATTTCTCACATCTCTGCTCTTTCCTGCACTCATTTTCTCTTTTCCCCGTTACCAGGGCTCCACTATTTCCCCTCCCTTCTCTATCTCCTTTTCTCTGCCTCCCAGATGGATGTGCCCTTAGAGACCATCTGGCTAACACCCTCTCCCACCCAGAACATGGAGGGGACTTGCCCCACATCACATCACCGGTTGACACAGGGCCAGCATTGGAACCCAGTGCCCCAGTGCCCAGTGCAGGGCTTAGGCCAACTAGGTCCTCCCCTTCAAAGCCATCTTCCTGGGATTTTTTATCTGCCTAAATTGGATTTTTCTCCACTCCAATAAAACTCCACGGAGGAAAAACACACTGGCTCCCACACCCCAGGGGCCAGCTCAGGACTCCGATTGTCTGCCTCCCACCTGCATGGTTGTACTCTTGTCAAAGACATTCTGGAAACAGGACCTTGCTCAACAGCTGACACAGGAAACATTTCACGGGCAACTTATTCTTCTATCCCATCACACCCTTAAAAAGAGAGAGGAAAAAAGGCAGGCCCGTGGCTCACTCGGGAGAGTGCGGTGCTGATAACACCAAGGCCACGGGTTCGGATCCCTATATAGGTATGGCCGGTTGGCTCGCTTGGGAGAGCGTGGTGCTGACACCAAGTCAAGGGTTAAGACCCCCTTACCGAGGAATTTGGCTTTTAGCTGCAGGAAGAGGGACTGAGTTAACTATAAAGAAGCTCTGTCTGCGTCGGAGAACAGCAAACACTAGGAAGAGTAACTCGAGAGAATGCGACATCTCCTTTCAAGGGATGGTCCTGGACTGGGAGTGTGCAGCTTTGCCTGGAGACCGGGATGGCCAGAGTGGCACGCACGGGGGGGAATGGTGGCAGAGTGGCCTCGGGAAGGAGAGGCGCCCCGCGGAGCCGGGTAGCTCTTACCTAAACGTTTTGGTGGCCAGCCGCAGAGGGGGCGGTGCACTGCCCTAGGTAATGACAGGGCAGCCAGGGAGACACGCGGGGGCTGCCCGTCGCGGCCGCAGCGGCTACAGACAGCTTGGGGACCTCCCGCTCTCCGGTCCTGGGTCCCAGCCCCACCCCTCGGTCCCCCTCCTGCGCCCGCCACCTCCGTCCCGCCTCGCCCCGCCCCCTCGTGCAGCCCCAGCGCGCATGCTCTCTCCCCCCGCCGAGTAACCTGGAGATTTAAAAGCCGCCGGCTGGCGCGCGTGAGGGGGAGAGGAGGGTGACGAGCTGGCACGCGCCGGTCCCCCGGTGACAGCCGCTCGCCTCGGCCAGGTAGGAGCGCGCCCGCTGCCCTCCCCGGGGAGACGGTCCCGGCGCGGGAAAGCGGGGGCGCTGCGCCCTCGCG